ATACATTATTATATATGGTAACATTTCCCGACTATGTACATTGTCTAACATGCTTAATAGCTACATTTCTCTTTAATTTTACAAGATCTTATCTAGACACAACTTGGCAATTTGCGTACGATTACGTAATAATTTAGATAGCTTTTTGAATTATTTAATACACATAAAAATATATTTGTTGAAACGTTTGTTGCTAGACCAGTGTATAAGCATAACCGTTACTTAATGCAATGCCGATTACAGTTTTAAACCTTAATCTGTCTTAAATATGATAAGAGGCATAAACGATCCGGAACATCCATTAACTTTAGAGGAACTAAATGTCATAGAAGAAAGCAAAGTGAAGGTAAGGGCTAAAAGTTTTGATTTGTAATGTGTAGAAAATTGTTTTATAATCTCGACGACGTTCAAACGTAGGTCGACAATGCAAATAATAGCGTCGCGGTAGAATTTACGCCTACGATACCCCACTGTAGTATGGCCACACTGATCGGGTTGGCGATCAGAGTGAAGCTGCTGAGGGCGTTACCCGAAAGATTTAAGGTAAGTGATTATTAAGAATTTTTTTCAAACAAACATAGTATATTATAAAAAATAAAGTTGTAGTGCAAACTTGATGTAAATTAAAACTATGGATGTTAACTTGTGAGGTTATTCTGTGCATTTGAACACAAAGACGAGTTGTTAAGTGGCTCAAAAACATTTTTCATTTAAATTTAATTACGATAAAGTTTTACATAAGATTATGTCGTAATGAATTTGGCATAAATCATGTCTAAATCTGAAATCTACAGCTCCACAGACAGTGGAGTGAGGAGAAATAAATGATTCACCCATGACAGTTGATGACGCGACGTGATGTGCGCGTCGCGTCGCGTCATCAACTGTCATGGCGCTTGCTTTATAAGTTATGGCATGACAGTTACCTACGCGACGTGCACATCGCGTCGCCGCGTAGGTAACTGTCGAATAAAATTTGTCATTTTATTAACACGTTTTGTAGTTTAAACGGCACTTTTGAGTAGGAAAACGACATTTTTCGTCGATATTACTGCTTAAATATGGAAAAATTGTCGTTTTTACGCTACAGATGCGCGATTTACGTCAAAACAACAAGAAAAGGAGCAAACCTGAACAATTTTCCAGCTGTCTTCCATGTTTTTTGCCCTAAAAACCCTTTAAAACATCAGGAAATACTTAAATAAAAGTCCATACGTTAATCGATTCGCTAAAATTGATTATTTCCCATTAAATTAACGCTTCTTACGACGACCAAACCCAACATCTCTGCCGTCAGCTGTTTACCGTTTACAACCAGGCGTAGAGGGGTGTCAACTCTGATGCTCTTGTAACAGAATTCCTGAAAATAAGAGAGCATTATCGATTGAATACACGAGAAAGAAATTTCAAACTTGCATACCTTCTCTTTGTGTTTCACTTTCATTATTTTCAAGTTTGGTTCGGGAATGGCCACGGAGTCTCCGATGATCATGCCCCGTCCTTCTGCCAGATTGTAAACCGTCACGGCACAACAGGTCTCTTCGTCATCAATCATGCAGAATGTGCTTAAAAAAAAATATGCACGTGAATAATGGACAAAGATTTGTCTCAAACTCAAGAACAAAAAAGAGAGCAATTACAATGCCACGGGGTCGAAACACGTTACGTTACATACGACTTTTCCAATCACCACCTTGCCACTGTTTGTTCCCGGTTGTAATTGATTTAATTTAATTTGTTCGAACTTCGTTCCTTTCTCCTCTGCAACGGCATTATCTGCATATGGTCCCAAGTGGTGCTTTTTAATCGATTTTAAGAGCATTTGCAGTCTTCTTGCTTTAAGACAACCCTAAAAAAATTTGATTTTTTTCAAATTTCTGTCATTGACGTAAATTCCAAGAGCCGCTTACCTTTTTGACGACCATTTCCTGGATTTGTTGCACATAACCCACAAAGTTTTCGAGGCTGTCTCGGACGTCCGTCCATAGTGGATCGTACTGGATCGCCTTCTCGAATCCGTCTATTGCGCCCTGATAATCTTCTTCATATTTCAGAACCTACGAGGCAAGTTAAACTTTGATTCAGAACCCAAATCTAATCTTTGACCCATGCAATTCACAAATATATCTTAATAACTTACATACTTACTGTAGCACGGTTGTAATGGAGGCAGGGATCGCAACGACTTACAGGGTCTTGGAGCTAAATTTAGAAATAAGATCGTACTAACTAACAATGCAATGGGAATTTGTGCTGCTTATGCAATCAATATTCAGATTACATAATTTTCATTGATAGGCATATGAGAAATTGATGTTGCGAGAATTAAGGAAAAGACTTACCGCCTTCTCATAAGCAGCCATACAAAGCTTCAGAACCTTTGGATTTTGATTTGCAATGAAGAAGAAGCTTAAGTACGCGTTACCCAAAATATCTAAAATATACAATAGGATTTTAATTGTACATTTATACATTTAAATCGGTCGAAGACGACAATACTCACACCAAGACTTTCCGTCTTCCACATCCATTTGCACGGCCTCTCGGGCCTTGTCGATTCCGCTCTGGATGTTGTCTGCCTTCTCCTGGGGAGTATTGCCCAACTGCCTCAGAACCATGGACAGGTTACGCAGCGAGACTTTATTTTTCGACTGAAATTTTCAAGACGGAATTTGATGCGGGGCTCTAAAATACAACAGGAGAAAGAATAGAAAATTACATGTTTTAGGGCTCCTTCGAAACAATTTCGGGCTGCCTGGACGTCTCCTTTCTTCCAGTAGCACTCTCCCAAGTGGTTCCACGCTTCGAACAATTTTGGATTGAGCTTGACGGACTTGGAGAGAGACTCGAGCGCTTCCTGGTCGAAGTCCGACTCCACGTTCAGGATCTGACCTTTCAGCATGTGAAACTGCGCTTTGTTGTTCTCTTCACAGAAAGCTACGAGAATAAAGCAAGCTTTTTAATACAAAGTGAAAAAATCTGAGCTAATTTGTCTATTATATGCAAAATTGTCGCGCTGGCTGCACACACTGTTTAGCATTACGGCTAATTTATCAGTTGTATCGATTACTCACCACGATGCTTTTCTAGAGTCTCTAAAGCACTCTTTACTTTTTCCTTCAGCCGATTGGGCTTATCTTTTGCTTCTTCTATTGGATTCCTTTCAAAGTAATGATCTCGGAAGTCGTACAGATCCGCGACTTGATCCTGACAGAAAGGAAGTCAGAAATTAAAAAAGGGCAAACGGAAATCGGTGGCAACATCTATTAGTGAAATAAATACAGAAGCAATTTAACCGCGTGAGACTCCCCGTTGCCTTAAGTATGTTTCAAAGGCAAGATACACGCGTCGACTCGGACGACTGCATTCGTTCAGCCAATCTATTTACAATTCTTCAATCAATCAATTTCAGAACAAAGTTTAGAGCAGACTGGAGGACGACTCTAAACTTCATTCCAATAGTCCTTGCATTCCTAAACGGGAAGGTTGGTTGTGGCATGTTGCTATGAATGCAGCGGAATAGGTCACCATTCGTAGCAACATACTGAAACTTTCACATTTATGACAGCATGGAACTAATCATAATGGTAAACATTGCATGTGAAGTCTATATATTTTGTACAGAGCCAAATTATAATTCTGCACACAGAAGATTATATATTCAACGCCCGGTTTCTTCCGAATCATGACAATAAAAAGATAGAGGATGCCGACTAACTTTTCGGAAGAGCTAGCCCAATTCGGGGTCTTCGAACATTAAGACGAGGTTATAAACTTGTTAAGCAGAATGGGCGAGTACGGGAACTCGCACAGCATTTGTAGGTTTGCCAGACGTTTTGGTTTGATCGGGAGAGTCCCAATTTCCAAGCGACGTCCCAGTTACCAAAAATTTATGTACAGTACATTAATTGGAAATACAGAGGAGAAACTTTCAGAAACACCTTAAGGAAAGAAACGTGGCCTTAGCGTCGGATGTCGAGGTCAAGCCGCGTTAACATGGAAGCAATCAGTTTTCCCTTCCTACTCCAATGCCATCAAATAAGAGCAAGGACGGGATACAACGAGCCTCGAGTGGCCAACTATTCTTTACCGGTAATTATTAAATCTTGTGTTACCGTGAAATTTAAGTATGTCAAATTGTAACGGGGGAGGCGAGGAGTGCATCTGCCCCCGTCCTAGTTTGATATTGTGAAAATCTGGCAAGTCAGGCCACTTGTATATCAAGCTGCAATGTTACCGAAACGGAATTATAACTTTGCATGCTTTAATAGTGAAATTTTAATAACAACACGTGGAAACATTTAAATAACAATATGCTTCACGTATGGAGCATTAGCGTTAATGCAGACTCCACAATAAATCGTAACGCGACGCGCCGCGCGCCAATTACAACTTACGTAGACGTCATAGCGAATAGCGACGCAGCTGTAAATGCCATAACTTATAAAGCAAGCGCCATGACAGTTGATGACGCGACGTGATGTGCGCGTCGCGTCGCGTCATCAACTGTCATGGCGCTTGCTTTATAAGTTATGGCATGACAGTTACCTACGCGACGTGCACATCGCGTCGCCGCGTAGGTAACTGTCGAATAAAATTTGTCGTTTTATTAACACGTTTTGTAGTTTAAACGGCACTTTTGAGTAGGAAAACGACATTTTTCGTCGATATTACTGCTTAAATATGGAAAAATTGTCGTTTTTACGCTACAGATGCGCGATTTACGTCAAAACAACAAGAAAAGGAGCAAACCTGAACAATTTTCCAGCTGTCTTCCATGTTTTTTGCCCTAAAAACCCTTTAAAACATCAGGAAATACTTAAATAAAAGTCCATACGTTAATCGATTCGCTAAAATTGATTATTTCCCATTAAATTAACGCTTCTTACGACGACCAAACCCAACATCCAGCTAGACCACGCGACCTTTATACTTTCTAAAATGTATATTAGATGGCGCCACTAATCATTTTTCCCTTTTTTTAAAAATAATATAAATAACATTTTAAATTAAATTGTTCGTAAATCATAAATAATGCAAAATTCTAATTCACCTTTTAGATTCTCAAAGATTAAAAAAAAACATTAAAACAATAATTGTGTAGTAAAATATTCTGAAAGATGAACGTATGTGTAATGATGTTTAAATTAATTATAGGAAAAAAAATTCGTTAAAAGTATATAAATATATTTTATTTTTGTTAATTTTTTACGATATGAATGAATTTAATTTTACTCCCGAAACGTAGATGGCGCTTTTTAACTTCTTCTCGGCTGTCGCAGCGCCATTTGCGTTTTAGTAATTAATATCTTTTAAATATAATTATTAAAAAAAATTGGTTTAAAACATTCTTAACTGTAAATAAAATTAAAACAGTTATTTCTTCTAAAGATTTTTATATTTTTAAAGTTTATAAAGTGATTAAATAGATAAAAATTTGTCTCACGTGATTTAAACGATGTGATAAATTTTCCCCGAATCTACTGAAATTTTTGTTAGTATACTGAAATATCGGTAGAACGAACCGTAATATATTTAAATTTTCACTCTATTTTATTAATATTTAACACAATTAATTAACTTTTTATAATTATTTCTGCGTCGATGGATATTATTCGAGATTTATTGAAAGATGTTTCTTGACGTCTACCGAAATATCAGTAGCACGTCGTAGATTGAGAAAATGGTGCTGAACAAGCTACTAGAAAACGCAAATCCTTTAATATATTCCACTTTAACTGAAAGACAGACGACCAAACAGGAAGAGGATGAAAGTATAACGGACGATTTCGATTCTAGGGAAATATTTGATATCCTTTATTTTAGAATATACGTAGAAATTGCTGTTTTAGTTATTATGGTATATTGGACATGCTGCATCTATACAAAAATTCCCTACAGGGAATTTTTGTGTAGATGCAGCATGTTCAGTATACCCAAAGGGGTATACCAAATTATATTAGTTTTCACAGAGCAGGAGGCTTTACACTATTCTACCATTGGATAATTGGAGTGAAAAAATAATTAGAAATTTGATATAACAGAGGAGTCTAGTAAAAACAAGTTTATGGAACACTGTATTAAGGAGACGCACATGTTTGGTTATAGACAGTAAATGTATGTTTCAGCCTGTTATAGAGACATGTGCGAACATGTTACTTAGTGAAGTTTGCACTGGCACAGTGGTTTTCGACTGGATGCCGCGACGAACCTTTGCGGGTGTCGGAAAATATATTGCCGAGCACTCGAGCGGCACCGTCTTGTAGCTGTGAGGTGGCTTAGTAGTGCTCCGTCAGGTTCGTACTTCCAGAGTTGGAGCATTACCTTGGTCCTTCTATATTCGTCCAGCTGCCAGTGACGAAGTTATGGTCTCCGGAAACTCGGTAATGCCGTTTGGCAGGATGGAGCCTAACTTCTTGGAGTTAGTCGACTGTTAAAGCTGTTTTGGACTTTGATGTTTATTTATTACGATGCGTGGTAACACAAAAAGTAAATTCATATTAAAGTTTGTTCTATACTTGTTGTGGGGAAAAAATTTTTTTAAACTTTTATTTATGTTATGAAAAAAATAATTTAATGATTGATTATTCACCTAGCAGTTGACCGGTGGTTTACATGATTGTTTATGGTGGTCGATGACAGGGTTTTCCTTCATTGAGAACATTGCAAATGTGGCAGCTGCGAAAGGATAAGCGCATTTAATAACAGGTATTTTGTAAAAAATGTGCACCCGAAATGCAGATCCCTCGTTATCTTCTAAAGACCCGATAATGCCTCGTCATATGGCCAACTACCAGAAGTAGTTTTGTTTGATTATTTTCTCCATCACTATGAGTGAGGTAATCTGTTATTCTTATGTGTCTGAAAATGGAGTCTTATAATGCTTCCTGTAAAAATGGCTTGTCTAAACCTGCTGATCCATGTGTATGTAAAAGATGGACTAATTATATATGGATTTCTATAATCACAAGTAATCTATATATATAATTACACATGGATCAGCACGTTTAGATATATATACGTTTACATATATAGATTACTTGTGATTATAGAAATCCGTATATAATTAGTCCATCTCTTACAGATGGACTAATTTGCATGGATTTCTGCTTACATGGTCGACAATAGGAGTCCTCTATAAACAATAATTGCATTTGCTTTCATCACTTAGACTACTGTTACATTTTTTACACTTGGACTGTAGCTAATAGGCCTAGTGTTACTTGAAAAAAGAAATAGTCAATCTTTTCGTTTTCTCTTCTAGTTTTTATTTATTTTTGGCTACTGGACTTGTATTATAACACTTACATGCATTACTGAAAAGTGTACTAATTCATATTATTTGGTCATCGACACACGTGCTGCATTAGTTGCTTTATTTGGTTATAGTGACATAGAATTACATGCCTTAAACTGTTCTGTAATTCTCTCTTCACCCACAGGATATACTATATCATAGCACTGGCAGTTATTTATTTCAGGAGGATGTGTTGATGTACAATGGAATGATTGTTTAGTGAATTTACAAATAAAATAAAATTACTGTTATATTCTTCCTTTTTCCCCCACAATATTTGAACTGGGGTGTCGTTGTCTTACCTCCGAAGATTTGTACTGGATTTGCATATAGGATACTGTACAAGCATTATCGATGGCATTATTTGATTGTAAAGGGCTAATGTTATTTACTATACAAAAATAATATAAATTACCAAATGCAGATGTGTTATTTAGATTAGAAGAAAAAGGATGTATACATTATTATATATGGTAACATTACCCGACTATGTACATTGTCTAACATGCTTAATAGCTACATTTCTCTTTAATTTTACAAGATCTTATCTAGACACAACTTGGCAATTTGCGTACGATTACGTAATAATTTAGATAGCTTTTTGAATTATTTAATACACATAAAAATATATTTGTTGAAACGTTTGTTGCTAGACCAGTGTATAAGCATAACCGTTACTTAATGCAATGCCGATTACAGTTTTAAACCTTAATCTGTCTTAAATATGATAAGAGGCATAAACGATCCGGAACATCCATTAACTTTAGAGGAACTAAATGTCATAGAAGAAAGCAAAGTGAAGGTAAGGGCTAAAAGTTTTGATTTGTAATGTGTAGAAAATTGTTTTATAATCTCGACGACGTTCAAACGTAGGTCGACAATGCAAATAATAGCGTCGCGGTAGAATTTACGCCTACGATACCCCACTGTAGTATGGCCACACTGATCGGGTTGGCGATCAGAGTGAAGCTGCTGAGGGCGTTACCCGAAAGATTTAAGGTAAGTGATTATTAAGAATTTTTTTCAAACAAACATAGTATATTATAAAAAATAAAGTTGTAGTGCAAACTTGATGTAAATTAAAACTATGGATGTTAACTTGTGAGGTTATTCTGTGCATTTGAACACAAAGACGAGTTGTTAAGTGGCTCAAAAACATTTTTCATTTAAATTTAATTACGATAAAGTTTTACATAAGATTATGTCGTAATGAATTTGGCATAAATCATGTCTAAATCTGAAATCTACAGCTCCACAGACATGGGAGTGAGGAGAAATAAATGATTCACAAATTGGAAAAGAGAATCTGTACATTGTGTTCAGCACATCTGAATTTTTAGGATTTTTCAGCTTCCTGAATTGCACTTTGGTTATTTTTTCCACTACGGTGAATTTATCTTACTGAATAAATGCAATTTATTCACCAGTAGAAGGTGACATTACAGATATCTTATTTGATTTATAAATAGTCCCCCATCCCTACATCTACTGTGCTGCAGAATTCAGATTTAGACCTTCGATCTAATGAATCTATGGATCAATTTTCCAGCCATTTACTTAATTTGGGTTACTCCCCCCTTCGTCCTCAATAACCGGAATAAAGTAAATGGCTGGAAAATTGATCCGTACACTCACGAACTGAAGTCAACTGCCAGTTTGATTTGAGGTCAGCTTTGTGATCGGTCTCTTGCCACGTCCTCACTTAAGTTGGCTCCGTACATTTTGTATTTGTCAAATCTGCGCAAATATCTGGCTGGTACTGAGTAGTGCGGACGATTTACTCGTTACTATTATTTGGTATTTGCCATTTCCCACTTCCTGCCAGTATATTGTGCCAAATCAAAGGGGACAAGTGGGCAATTCTTTGGCATTTGGCAAATACAAAACGTGTGGAGTCAGCTTTAGGTCATTTTCCACCTCGTCTCATAGGTTTGAGCTATTCTTACTTAAATATCTTCTTTATTTTACTAACTATTCTTTTCGTAACCGTCTTCGAGTGCCCATATTTCAAGATTTGATTCTTTAATCGGCACCACTTCCATATTTTTCAAGAGAAATTTATTAATATTACTGTAAATATTTAGAGTAATCAAACTCATTTTTGGACTATCTTATAGTAATTTTTAATTAGAAAATGTTAGTAATTTCATTAAACTGAATACTTTTACTATTATTAATTTAGGTTGACGTGTACATTTCTCCCGGAACTCATGCTTCGGAAGATGCAGGTTTGTGTTTTTAAACTATTAAGTTCTTTTGTTTCCCAAACTAACAAACAGGTATCGCTAATGCACAGTTTGATATGTAAATTTAATGTCGAAACACTTTAAATATAAGTTATTAAGGAGATTCAAAAGCTTTTTAAAATGTCTTGGATCAAACAGTTATTAACTATAACTCCACATAAAATTAGAGGGACTGTGGGATGCTACTAAAGTGTCCATAAATGAAGGGACACACTGTGAGACTGTGTTTGGATGTGTTAACGTACATTTTTGAGTAGATGCAATGCATTCGTATGCAGAATTGTGCATAAGTTAGTAAAATGTTTGCATTGCATGGAAAGTTTTAGGTTCAAACACATCTCTCTCTATTGGTTAATTAATTTTACCATCTTGAACCTTCTTTTAAAGGCATCGTCCTGCCATTTGGGACCCGGGAAAAGTCTTAGTTTGTTCCAAAATTTTCACAGGGAAGTCCGGAGATTTTTCACTTTGATTTCGGGCCCATCTTTTGCCAATCAGTTGGCCGACCAGATCCAATATTGCCCATTAGAAAGCTTTTTTAATGCCTGCACGGCAGGAAGAATTAAACAAAATTTTGTTTTTGTTATTACATGATTAAGTAAATTTAAATTGCCTATTAATTTAATTATAATTCATTTTCGTAGTATTATATATTTTAACTTTCCCCGGCATTACTTTCTTTTCTTTAACGTCATGCAATTTTTCAGTTAACAAACAACTTGCAGACAAGGAGAGGGTTGCCGCCGCTCTGGAAAATTCTTACCTGTTGGAAGTCGTAAATCAGTGTCTCTCCTCCAAGCGGTGATTTCTCCTAGCGTGTATTCTTAAACATTGTATATTTATCAATAAAAAATAGTATTTAAGGATTAAAATTTCATAATTTATTTGTCTTTTGGATCGGGCTATATTGTATTTGTTACGAACAAAGTATTGCCAATTCTAGTTTATCTGGACCAATTTATGACTTTACAGAAGTGTTGCAAACAGAATACAAATTGTGTATACGAACCAGTTATTTTCTAGCCCCCGAAATGTTTTGTGTATAAATTTTAATATTTTGACGATTGATATTTTACATAAACACACATTTTAATAAATAATACCTACTATAATTACTTAAGAAGTAACAAAAATTAAAACACTTGTCAAATCTTAATCGTGTTGTAATCATACTATCGTACTCCTTTGTTGATCTCGTTTGGGGTTTATTGAGATAGTCATGCATTGTTTGTACTTTTTATGAATTTTATGCGTATCGTCATAATTTGGACCATTCTAAATCAGTCTTCCTGTGGTAGTATTGGCAGCATTGTAAGCCAGCCGTGCAATCCGCTACGTACCTTGAGAAACTTTTAATTGTTGAAGATTTAGTATTGATTTGAGTTGTGGTGATGAAACTCATCTCAAAGTACCGCTAGTGATAAAAACCCAAAATTTTGTAAATTCTGTTAGTAACCACAGATGCCTGTACATTGGGACACGTGTCCCCTTTTCCTAATCCTCAAGGAGGTCCCAAATTCCATTATCGACGAACAACAAAATTCATGACTAATAGCCTATTCTGCAAATATAAAAGAAACCAACGAACAATATTTGTCCATTGTCCTATGCAACTTTGTATGTTGATCAAAATCTGGCCTCGAAAACGAGGAACTTTTCTTGTTCTCGAGGCCAGGTTAGCTCCGATTGTAACCAATCATCTCGTGGAATCGCCGATCCGACATCGAATTGTAGTTTGAAGCTTCTTGCATTGCATGCATTGCTGTTAGTAACTATTTGTTCTTTCATCGGTTTTGCCAAATGCAAACACCAAATTATCTTGTTAATTTCAATACAACATGTTCCATCTTTTTACATTGAGTCGCGTTCGATTCTTCAACATCGCGTGGAATGACATCCGAAGCACGCTCGTCTTTGCAGTTGCTTGACAATTGAGACTTGTGGGTTCTGGCACAACTCAAAGCTTGGCCAAAAAATTGCGACACCGACAAAATCAGAGTGCGACTGTTTATCGTGGCAAGGTTCTCGGCAATTTGTAGGAATAATTATACAAACTTTGCAACAGAATTAATTTCCAAATTTTATTGAAAATTATCTTAACATTGCATATATTTATATACAGTATATATATATTTATTTTTTTAAGTTTTTATTTTTACATTAACTGCAATAATATGAATAATACTTATTTACAATATAACATTTTGTATATTAATACTTACATATTTGTACAATATGAATAATAATTATTTACAATATAACATTTTGTATATTAATACTTACATATTTGTACAATATGAATAATAATTATTTACAATATAACATTTTGTATATTAATACTTACATATTTGTACAATATGAATAATAATTATTTACAATATAACATTTTGTAGATATACAATATATAAATAAATATCTTTGATTATATTTATAACGTCGCTCGCGAGCACAAATGAATGCATTTGACGTACGAGATCGTCCGTAATTTCCAATATAGAAATTCATAAAATAAATAAATATTTGTATATATGTTAACAATATAATACATGCAGGCAACTTGCAACATTTATATATCAATATATAAAATAAACTATTTTATTCTATTGGAAATAACTGAAGGTAAGGGCGGTTGTCGTAGATTTCGAAATCGTAGAGCGGGGCATCCATGACGGGATTCAGAATGTATTGCTCCACCATGTTTTCGCTTCTGGTCGGCATCATTTCCCAGTTGGTTGCATTGGGAAAATGGTGCGAACAGGAATGGATTGCGTTCGGAATTGATGTGTAACAAGTATTTTGGTCGATCACTGCAAGGGGTGCCCTAGACGGAGAGGACCGCTTGGTCTTGAAGAATTCTATGTCGTTAGGTCTGTATTGCTTGTTTTCTTCTTCCGTCATCAGAAAGTGATAAATCTTTTCGCTCAGAGTTTTATCCATGTGGCTGAAAACTGATTCCAGTGCGAACGACTCTTCCAAATTAGTCAGCTCAGACTCGCAGGAGTGATAGACCAGCGGCGAAATGTTTGGATCGAGAAGATGGTTTACGTCTGTGACGGAATCTGTTGAACTTCCGGAAGCTTTTATTTCTTCCGGACTCAAGATGTCTATGACCTTTTCTTCTTCCCAGTTAACACTCTCTTCAGGTTCCTCTTTCATTTGCGGTACTTCCTGAGGGCGCCGCTGGATGCCATTCTGGCCATTTCCTCGAACGTTCCACCAGTAGTGGGTGCTCGGCTTCTTGTGGGTCTCGGCGCTCTTCGAAGCCGAAATTCTAGTGGAAGGCCGACCGTATTTATTCTGCAGAAGGATGTGCTGACGGTGCAAAGCCGCTTGAAGAGCCATCTGTAAATAGATAAGTATATATAGTCATCTTTTTGGTAGGTATCACTTGCTTAATTAACACACCACTTTGTGATTGGTGAACTGGGAATTTTACACCCCCATAATGGCCAATTCTTTTGTATGGTCTAAAGCAAATGTTTCTTTAAAAATCTTTTATGAAATGTTGATATAATATAATCTGGATTTTCCAAGGATTTTGGGACTGCACACCTTTGGTTCTGTTGGGACTACTACACTCTTTCTGTCTAGAATAATAGTGGCTCACTGTTGACAAAATTGTAAAAATGAAAATAATCTTTCTAATAATATTCTCCAGATGCTTTGATCCATCTTCAAACTGGATCTCTCCAACTACTGTTATAGTGATTGATAAAATCCAGTTTGAAGCCTTGTAAACTCGTGTTTTTAACAATTCATGGTCTCTAGTATATGTCGACAAATTCCCAGAGTTCCAAACGGTTCTTGAATCTTGCTCCTTTGCTCTACCATTTCACAAGTCTGTGTTAGATCAGTGGTTTTCAAAGCACACTCATTTCACAGTCAACTGACCCTAATCATTTTCCTAAATTGCAATTATATTCTATATTTTACATGCCAATCTTTTAGTTTATTGAATAAAGAAACCATTTTGGCACACACTTAAGGTGATGTTTACTAGATAAGAAGTGAGCCTAATTTGTCCACAACTCAGTTTAAGCAATTTGCAGGTTGTATTCCAGTTTCCACAATGTACAAGAGGTTTGAAANATATAATCTGGATTTTCCAAGGATTTTGGGACTGCACACCTTTGGTTCTGTTGGGACTACTACACTCTTTCTGTCTAGAATAATAGTGGCTCACTGTTGACAAAATTGTAAAAATGAAAATAATCTTTCTAATAATATTCTCCAGATGATTTGATCCATCTTCAAACTGGATCTCTCCAATTACTGTTATAGTGATTGATAAAATCCAGTTTGAAGCCTTGTAAACTCGTGTTTTTAACAATTCATGGTCTCTAGTATATGTCGACAAATTCCCAGAGTTCCGAACGGTTCTTGAATCTTGCTCCTTTGCTCTACCATTTCACAAGTCTGTGTTAGATCAGTGGTTTTCAAAGCACACTCATTTCACAGTCAACTGACCCTAATCATTTTCCTAAATTGCAATTATATTCTATATTTTACATGCCAATCTTTTAGTTTATTGAATAAAGAAACCATTTTGGCACACACTTAAGGTGATGTTTACTAGATAAGAAGTGAGCCTAATTTGTCCACAACTCAGTTTAAGCAATTTGCAGGTTGTATTCCAGTTTCCACAATGTACAAGAGGTTTGAAATTCTGTACATATTAACATATGTACAGAATTTCAAACCTCTTCAGTGTGAGATCTGAGCCAAAACTCTGGGATAGGTCTATAAGAATGGCCTTTTGAGGCCATTCTTATAGACCTACGTATTTGAATCTCCTTTTCAAAATTATCCCTGGAGTATTTGTTATATGTAGAACAAAGGCTGCAAGCCTCTTTTACATATTATAAATATGTAAAAGAGGCAGAAGAGCCTACAATTCCTCTTTCCAGTTAATCCATTGGAAGAAAAGGTAGGACTTCTTTTAGAGTACAGAAGTGGTATAGTTCAGACAAAGATGATTTTCCGAACCTCTATTCATATCACCTCACTCAAGGTACATTAACAGATACCCAATTTCAGGCTTTCCAAACCCATTCCCAGTAATCTTTCCTGCTAACTGGAGTAACCAGAAACAGGTTGGTTGAGGCAGGAAATTGGGCATTTGTCTGTACTACTAGAGTGAGGTGATGTAACTTGAACAGAGGCTCAGAAATTCTTCTTTCTCTGCAATATACCACTGGGACATCCTAAAGGAAGCCAAAGACCTTCCTTTTCTGCCAACCAGAGTAAGTTTTCGAGCTTCCTTCACGGATGACCAAGCGGTATACTGTGGACAGAGAGGATTTTCTGAACCCGTATCATCTCACTCGAGTTAAATTGACAAATACCCAATTTCGAGGCATAAATTCAAAAAAAAAAAAAATCACACCCCAAAATAGAACCTTACCTGGCACTTGGCAATCCTGGAAGTGTTACCACTCCTCTTCTTATAACTCAATCTAGACTTGATATTGGAGGGCTTCCTCGAGACCTTGGACAGGAGGTCGTGACGTCCACGCAGGAACCACTCGTTTCGAAATTCGTGAAAATCCTGTTGGCCCAACCTCTTGGTGGACTCCCTGTTGTAGTGGTTTACCTTGCGGAAACCGTAAAGATTGAGCTGCCGGATGAAACTAGTTATGTTGCTAGTTTTAAAAATGTCGACGTTGCTCTCCAGATATTCCTCCTGAAATTTCGGGTAATCCAGGATGATGGAATCGCCCTGATGGCTCCAGTTGATGGCACCCGTCTGGCACTCGTTGACGATCTTCCATAATTTCTGAGGGAAACGCATCGATAACAATGACTGACCTTCGCTATACTTCTTCGAATAGGTAAAAGAATACATTATCGTTCTTCTTCGTGTTCTTTTTTTCATAATTCTCCCCGCTGTTCCAATCGCGCACGTGTTTCCGATTACGTCAGTTACATCGTAATCGAAATATTTTCAAATTTCGTCATCACTGCTAGCCAATTAGAGTTCGTTATAATTATTATTTTAGAGCATTAAATAAATTTTTGGGGGACATTTTTTAAGGCAAACCGTTTTTTATCTTTAATAAATTTACCAGTAAAATATTAAAATAAACATTATTTATTTGATTTTTTTAAGATTAAGATTGAAAAAAATTGTTTAAATTAATAAAATTACATAATAATCCCGCACTCGCGTTACTAAAGCAACCGAAGCTCGAGATTTTTAAACTTTTATTATTAAAGCGTCGATTAAATTGTTAACGGTTATTAAATATACAAAACGTCGATAAAATTCGGTTTAAGTATTTATGTGCAAAAATGATTTAATTTAAAATCGTAGTTTTGATGCGGAATTGAAGTTGTTTATAATGTTGCCATAGCAATCCGCCATATTTACAAAACGAACCTACGACGTAAGTATAATTTAATTTTAATTTAAAATCGCGTAAATACGATTATATTAATTATTTTAAACGATTATAAAATTATATTCATCGATAATTTATATGAAGAATACGACGAAAAAGGTGATGACGTTAAAAATATTTAATTATTCAGCACGTGCAGGCGCCATGTTGAAAATATATTTATTTATTTATTAAGCTTTTGATGCTTTATGGATAAGGTGTATATATACTTTTTCGTTTTGTTTATTTTCACTTAAAAGCAATTTGAAGTTTTAATGTATTTGATTATTATTTTGGAGACGGGAAATTTAAATTTTAAGTAAGCAAAACAAACCAATGGCATAATCCGTTTCATATAAAACGGATTATGCCATTGGTTTGTTTACTTCGATGCTTACAATTATAAACACACTTTAAAGCTGATACTTTAATGTAATGTTTGTGTTTTAGATGAAGGAAATTTTTTGAAATTCGCTAATAGAAAAGTTTTATACACAAAATTAAAAATTTACATTCTGCCAAATTAAATAATTTTTGATGGCATGTACACTGTACAATTTCTGTTTTATTTATTTAAGGGCAAAACCTCAAAATTTTAAGGAGTCCAAGGTATTATGGGTTCTAGCTCACAGTCCTATTTGCACTTATTAGTGACATTAATACGAAATAATATTTAAATTTACATTTATCTTCTGCGTTAAATCATCTCCAGCAATGGTTGAATCCGTAATGCTCTTATATCAATCCTAGAACTCCTTAGAAATTTCAATAGTTTTAATAGTTTCAATAGTTTTACATATCCTTTCAATGTCGGCAGCTGCGAACTTGTTTGATCTGGTAGTAAACAGGTTAAAAACGTCTGCAATTTTTCAATATGGCGGATTCCGAGAAGGACTTAATGACTTGTGGCACAGTCAGAAGGATGCTTGTCAACATATTTGAGAAAGATTGCCGCCATTTTGAGGAAAGGTGGCGTTAGTCAGATGGGACTTTAACTGGAGATGATGTAAGGTTACCAATCACGTGACAAAATAGATTTGCTCCTCCTGACAGAGGAAAAATTGATTAAATTGTTTCATAATGCCACACATGTTCTGTAACGCTGCATTATTAAAAGCAGAAGAATCATATACTGTATTTAATATATATTGAAATACGACACATTTTAATATAAATTAACCCGTAAATATGCGAGAAAACACCTATATTCCCCCTCTTCTAGAGGATTCATTTTCATGAATGAATGATATGACATCACCATTCTTTAAAAATACATGTATAGAAGAGAAATAATGCAAAATAAATAATATATATATATCTCATTATCATTAATGTACACATGTTTAATGGTAGATACTGTATTATTAATTAAATGAGTCGTTTCCAAGTTAGTAGAATTACCAATATGGCGGCTAACGTATGACACACTCGTAACAAATTAATTATAGAATTTGAATAATTAAATTATTGTTTATTACATTTTAAAATAAGACGAACGTTTATGAATAACAAACAAATCGGCGACGAATTAATTAATTAATTTTTATTAATAAATGGCGCATACGAAATTAGAGCTATGAATTGTTTAACGGTTGGACATTTTGTTTGTTGGTTGCTAAGGTAACGAATTAATTAAATTCGGATTTATATTTACAAATAATTAAATAAAATAATCAGATATTAATATTTAATTATAATTTATCTTTTGAAATAATAATTTGGAAACGATTTTTATAAAGTTAATTTACGATGCGAAGACGTTGCAGTTGCTATGGTTACAAGATTTTAATTGCTTGTCGCCAAGTTTACGCTAGTTTCGAATTAATTGAATAAGTAATCAGCGTTTTCATTTTAAATCAACATCACGAATTAATGCGAAAAATCTTGATTAAAAATACGTATAAATGAATTACGATAGCGATGGCCATTTTGTTACCATGGTTACCGATTTTGAATCGTTTGACGTTATAGCCACCATCTTTTATTTAGTAGGCTATTATTGGTGCGGAATGGATGAAAGTTTTAATAGATGTTAAATAAATTCTGTATTCTGTTTCGGGAACCTGTAATTAATTCGCTTCGGTTTGGGAATGACGCGAGGATTATACGGTTTATATTTAAATAACGATTATAGTCGAAGATGTCGATGGACGATGACGTCAGTTCATCCGTTTCGCTGGAGAATTACGTCTAATTAATGTCGGGTTGATATCACTTTTGAAATTTTTCCATTAAAAATTGAAAATACGTCATAAAAGTGACGTAAAAATCGAATCAAACAACACATATATTATTAAGGACGTTGATGGGAGCTATAAAGGAAACAGTGACGTCACATTCGACATTTTGTTCCTTAGTTGCTAAGGTAACGAATTAAATTCGAATTCGAACTGTAGAGATGACGTCAATTCGACGTCATATCTACAGTTTTGTAATGAATGAGTCCGAAAATGACGTCAAATTGACGTAACAGAACGAACTAAACGAACAAGGATAAATTTTACTTTACCGGTTGCCGTGACGTAACACGGGAAAGTACTGTATTGTAATTTTGTCGAATTTTACCCTTCCCCACCGGGTTTTTTTTTGCAAAAGAACGGGAAGAACTCCTGTTCGTGTTCGTGTGTGTCGGCATATAATTTCTTTAATACCTCAGGATGGGGTGAAGATTAAGTAACGAAATTTGGCAAGGTAGCTTGTGTATAAGGGGCATTGCTGGCATTAAATTTTGGCTCCTAAATATAGAGGGGTTGGAAAGATAGAGGCTAGTCACGTGTCATATTTCGCGTGGGGTCGGACTTAATAAAGATTTTACTTGTTAGCATTTAAAGCCTTTTATAAAACTCATTTCTACCCTGAAAATTAAGTCATTTTTCATTTTATAATAATTAAAAGTATGGAAAGTTTTAATAACAAAATCTCATAACAGATGGCGCCACACGCAAATTTTTTTCTTTCTAGATAGTTTAGTGATTTTATTTTAAATTTAAATATTTTTTTTTAATTGAGATTTTTGTAATAATTCATCAAAATTACTCCATTTAATGCTTTGTCTTATTTGAATTTTATATCGTAGCGTAATTGATAACTATTTGACTTCCCAATGCCCCCTCATCCCGTTCGAGAGTCCTCTTTCGGATTCTTTTTAAACTGTCATTATTTATTTAAATTGGAAACTTTTTAAACATTTATATTAATTATTTAATGTATTTATTTTTATTAAAAAAATTGCGTATGATAATTCAGAGATTTTAAATATTCCACTTTTAATAGCTCCGCACTGAATGGATGTTTTCACAGTTGCCATGGTAACAAATTATCCGGAGGGTTTTTTTCTCCCTAAGATCTTGCCAAGCATCTCATTATTGGAACATTCAAAAGTTTTATTCTTGTTACATTGAAAGTTATTGAATCCATTTGAAAGATTCGAGGGGTTTTATAAGAGAATTTTATCGATTTTTTATTTTAAATTTCCTTTTTTTCTTCCTTCGTGGCTTTAATTTAGGAAGTTCGGGCCGATGACGTCACGGATTTTAAAAATTCAAACTTTTGATTAGATGTGTTACATTGTTTTCGGTTGTCTAAATTTAAAATTATTCGTCGTTTTTTATTATTAATGGATTCTGAGCAGCAAAATTTAAGCAAAGTAAATAAGAATAAAGCTGAAAGGTAAGTATAAATAAGCGAGAAGAGCAGTGGTTAACTGAAAAACCAAGAAAAGTAGGCAAAAATCAACAATAGGGAAGTACAGGTAACCCCCGTATAACACGGGAGTTACGTTCCAAAAAAATTGCCGTGTTATGCGAATCCGTGTTATATGAAGCAAAGAACTAGTACGAAAAGGAGTGTTAGGTTCCAAAAATTAAAAACATGTTATTATATTTTCATAATTAAGGTAAATATCTTTATTAAAATTTTCTTAAGTGATACATATTATTATAAATTAAACAATGTTTTCTTTGTCATCACTAAAAGCACTATTTACCGAGAGCGTTTTATTTTTGGCAAGTTATCGTTATCNATGTAGAAGCACAGCTGGTGTAATGCAAGGATGTAGAAGCACAGCTGGTGTAATGCAAGGATGTAGAAGCACAGCTGGTGTAATGCAAGGATGTAGAAGCACAGCTGGTGTAATGCAAGGATGTAGAAGCACAGCTGGTGTAATGCAAGGATGTAGAAGCACAGCTGGTGTAATGCAAGGATGTAGAAGCACAGCTGGTGTAATGCAAGGATGTAGAAGCACAGCTGGTGTAATGCAAGGATGTAGAAGCACAGCTGGTGTAATGCAAGGATGTAGAAGCACAGCTGGTGTAATGCAAGGATGTAGAAGCACAGCTGGTGTAATGCAAGGATGTAGAAGCACAGCTGGTGTAATGCAAGGATGTAGAAGCACAGCTGGTGTAATGCAAGGATGTAGAAGCACAGCTGGTGTAATGCAAGGATGTAGAAGCACAGCTGGTGTAATGCAAGGATGTAGAAGCACAGCTGGTGTAATGCAAGGATGTAGAAGCACAGCTGGTGTAATGCAAGGATGTAGAAGCACAGCTGGTGTAATGCAAGGATATAGAAGTATATATACTTTATGGATAAGCTGAAACTGGCCTTAAAGATATTCCGAAAGCATTCCTCACATATTAAACATTT